AGGGTATTGTTGAAGTTAACGTTCGTTCGTGATACTGTTTGTTTTAGCGCGAATATTGAAATAAGTGTATCGGTAAAGTTGTATTCGGAAAGAATAAACCAGTTTTATTAAGTAAAGACTTGTGTCGTTAAAATTTCGTCGGAACGAAGTTACGGAAAGTTAATTAACAAACGGAGACGTAACAATACATTTATTCTATCATCAGAACAGAAAAGGGGAGAAATGCGTTTCTGTGACCACATTACACTAAACTGAATATGTGTTTTCCTGTTTGCATCAGAGCTAAGCAGTTTGGGTGTCATATGACAGTTTATGTAATGTTCACTACCTAACATAATTGAAGATAGCAGAATCATGTTCACCGTTGAAGTCAGTCAGTTGGGACAATGAATGATATTTGTTGCACTTTACAAACTTATCTAATGATTGACAACCCCATTATATTTTTTAATTGTATCCTCTTTTTGATTGCCACTGTTAATAACTCTGATAACAAATTTCTTTAAACAGCCAGTCAAAAAATAAGTCTTGGATAGACATTTCATGTCCCTTTAAAAGTCAAATAGATCTTTGCCTTTACTCATTGTCTTGCAATTTAATCATGATGTGACTGCATCTCTGTATTTATAAAATTTAACCAATCATCTAAAACATTACATAGTCTTCAGGCTGTTTTGGATACAAATGGAATGTTCTATAAATGTGTACAAGAGAGATTTCCAATAAAGCCATCTGTGAAATCCTTGCAAACAAAGCATTTAGGATAACTACAGGCTCAGAAATCAATTCAACAATACATCTTTCTTTTAAAAATGATGAATGTAATGAAAAAGACTCCTCCAACCCAAAAAAGCCATTGTGATGAAGCTGGGTAGAGCTAATGGTGCTATTAACCTTTTTTCCAAATAGTGAGTTTCAACTCGCTCACAAATCAGCTTTTCAAAATTCAATTTAAAAAATGTAATAGTAACTGTACTACAACATGTTTTGTTTCAAAAGTATTCCATAATGTATATTTTAACATTATATAATGCTCATTAGTTAACTTTATAAATTGTTTGTTGAATTTTGCAAAAAAAAAGGTACTCTACAGCTATCTGTGCTAGTAACCCTTAATTTTAAAGTGATAAACTAGAGAAAAGGCAGTTAGTTAGTCAACAACACTCACCACCCACTCTTAGGCTACTCTTGCCAAACGAAATAGTAGGATTTGACCATTACTCTTATAATGTACCCACAATCTAAAGGTACAATTTTTTTGTTTTTGTGATAAAGAGGCAGGTATCATGTACTCTCAGACTCACAGTCCACCATACTAACCACTGGGCCATGTTCAGCCAAATTTCATAAATACAAATAAAAAAAAGCATTTTTCCCAATCAGATTTCAGCATTTTCGTTTAGTTTGTCACTAATTTTATGCTTCTATGCTTTTAGTTTGTTCAATTGTGCATTGGCTAAACTCGCATTCATATTACTGAGAATTTGATGGTTCTCAGCTTTGAAAAGGGATACAGCCTAAATCAATAATCTTAAGAAAAGATATTCTACGCAAGCTTTAATGCTGTTTAATCTAAATTCCAATAGTTCTATGTAAAAATAAGTTGCAATTTTGAAAACAGCAAACTTGGGAGTGATCAAGGGTAATGAAACAATCTTAAGATAAGAGTTTGAAATACTTTTCAATTAATTTAGGATTCTTTTATTTATTGATTCTGATGTTATTCTTTTTCATTAATGATAGAGCTTCTTTGTTATATAATGTTCATTTGAAAGCTATATTAATATTTTTCTATAACAAAATATCTGGTAAGAATATCGAGGTTTTGTGAGTATAGTAAAGTAAGGTCTACAATGGCAAACTATTCTGATGATACAAATCCTTTTTTTAATACATTGTTAAGTTAATTGTGTTAAACAATGCATACAAATACAAGAACTTATTGAAAATAAACTATAAATATTAGATACAAATAGATCTCAAACAAAAATGTTGTTGGCATTCTGCCATGTTTGACAAAGGTAATGTTGTCACCTTGTTGGAAACTGAGGTCATTATTTACCAGTAAATCATTGTCAGTCAAACCATTATTTGTATAATTTACACCAGGGGAACCAACTCCAATTGTCAAGTAAAGTATCAAGAAAAATACAGTAATGAAAAACCAAGCAAATCAAAATTGATTTGATATATAAAATGAAGCTTTCTGATCAAGAATAAGGAAGAAAAAAAGTCTTAGACTAAAGGAAGTATTTTTGTTTTTATAAAGTAAAAGTATTTCACAATCTAAGAAAAAAATGCAAGTACTAAATCAAATTCAGTAAATTTTGTCCTGAAGAAATTACACACTATATAAAAAGTTTGTAACAAGTTTCACACAGCTTTCTTCAGTATTTTCATGGTAAAAACAGAAATGAATTTAGATTATTAAGGACACTGCTTTGGTCCGTAAAGGGTTATCATGATAATATTATCAAATTCTTTGATACAGCTCAAGTGAACTTATGTGCATACAGAAGCCAGTGTCCATACAGAGTAGAGGAGTTTTGGAAAGTCAAGTTGTGTGGCCTAAGAATGACCATGCAATTCTTTACTGAAATTTATTAAAATAAAAACATAAAAATTAGGCAATAGCACACAAAATAATAAATAATGCATAATAAAGTCAGAAAATTGAACATGATTAATAATGGAGTAAATTTGTTGAAGAACAGAAAATTTTGAATATCATTATTATAAGGTGCAACTGGACTTCTGTAGTTCTAGTTTTTAGTTGTTAATCTACTTTTATTATCAGGGTGTGTGCATCTTTATATATTGATGAATAATTGTAAAAGCACAAGTTTACTAAAATAGGTCTAGAATGAATACACACTTGTACACAAAACACACAAACTCACATGGTGTGTGTCAGGTCAAGTAGTTAAATTAGTTCTTAGATAGCTATTGGAATTTTGAATGTGCCATGTATAAAATACAGTTATGATAATTCTTATCTCAGTAGCAATACACGATCATAGTTTTATATCACAATTTTGTGCTAGATAATCCCTTGTGGAAATCATCTTTGTTTTCACTGTAGGGCAACTTAGTAATAAAAAAACGTTGGGAGGAAAAAGTTTACAATATTTTGTTTGGTAAGTATTAATCTACTAGGATGTAGTACAACTTCAGTACAATCTTTGTTTTGAATTAGCCAGAGTGATAAATAATCATTTGAACATCAAAAGCTATAAAACTAATCTACCAATACCAGTTGTTGGTAATAATATGCACAACTGTACACTTATATTAAGAGGTTATATATCAGTTGCAAAATAACTCCACTATGCATTCAAATTATAATTCTTTCTTTTTCAATAATAATTGTAATAAACTCTATTGTCAGTACAAAAGTACTTTTACATTTCTAAAAGTCTTCACTGTAACTTTCAGTGAAACTCAATGGATATGTTTAATGATGCTCATATTCTGGAATGATTGTTTCAAGGAGGTCCTTCAGTTCTGCAGCATCTGAAGAGGATAAATAGTGGATTAATTAGAATAAGATCATATGTTTCATAGCAAATTTTACCAGAAGTTCTAATTATATAAATAGTTGATTCATAGAACACATTTTCCAGCCATGTCAAATATGTATGCCTTACATTTCAGCAATCTTACATTTCATACCTGGATTGAGTTAAATGATTTTTCTACCATCAATGTATCACTATCCAAAAAAAGACAATGCATCAGTGAATTTCAAAATCATTGAATAACATCCCATAACAGAGGTTAACTACAGAAATTTGTTATACAAAAAATCTAGCTCCTTGTCTTCATCAGTGAATATTTTATGCAAATCAAACTAGTTTCTTTAGTTATATTCTTACCACTGTAGTATGGCAAAGCCTGATTAGGTGGTCACACATATTAAAGATACTGTTGGAAGAAGATAAACAAATTTTCACATATGGAACACTTTTTATCATTTCCTATTGAAAAAAAATCTTAAAGGCATTGGATGGCACTGCTGATTTTTTAAAAAGAGGAATCAACTTCTGTACTGAAAGGCTACAGTCAAGCAGAACTGGCAATTCAGTTTTGCAGTCTCTTTTGTAGGACTCTATGTGTGCAGGCATAGATGCATTGTCTCTCTCTGCACATACATGTGGGGAAGGAAAGAGCATGAAAGTTTAACATTGGACATATGACAGAACTGCTCTATACATGCTGTAATGTCTTTAGAAAAGTATATTGAACAATGAATTCTGTATAACTATTTACATTTTTAAAATATCTGGTGCATAAATCTATTGTCCCAGTTTAATAGTTCATACAGCTTATTCTGTAACTTTACATACACACAATTCTTTCTCCAGCAATATTACATTCTTCTTTAATCTTAACTATTAACTTCCTAGAGCTCATACCAGAGTAATCTTGCATTCGTATAGTTTATTCCACAAATAACCATACAGACAAAAATCATCTTCCCCTCTCCAAAAAAAAAACACCTACTGGATGTTTGTTTGTTTATGACAAAGGTATTAAGAATATTCACTGTCCCTAATTTTGAACTGCCAACCATACAGAAGGCAACCGGCCATGTGGCACCCAATGCTAACTCTTGGGCTGCTCTTTGCCATTGAATTGTGGGATTGACAATCATATTATAGTGCCCTTACAGCTGAAAGGGCAAGCATGTTTGGTAATGGAGATTCAAACCGCCAGCCCTTAGATTGTGGGTCAAGCATCCTAACCACCAGGCCAAATGATAAAGCAAGCTTTAAAAAATTTTGTTTAATAATCAGGACTGTAATTGTGGCAGAAATTTACAAAAAAATTTAATTCTAGCAACCTAACACATTAAGTGTTCATCACTTTTTCTCAGGTCTCTACATCAGTTTCCACTGAACTGGAAGCCATATTGGTTAATACTATTGAAAAAACCCCATTAAAAACAGGTATCATTACATCACACCATGACAACCAAGGTTGAAAAACACTGATTAGCTAAATACTGAATAATCTACACTTGCATTCAGGTTTCAAGGTTCATATTAGCATTCTTTCAACTTTTCCTCTAAAGAGTTAGGATAAAAATAATAGAAATTCACAAACACTGATGTTTTTTTTTCGGAGCAAGCTAAGATGAACCTAAGACCAAAATTTGGTTCCAAAAAATTTATGTATAAATTTAGATAAATAAAAGTTTTTATTGAATAAATTTTAACTCTGAAATATTAAAAAAATATGTGGAAGAATGACTACATGTGTGTTTTCTATAATTTTTTTAATGCAATGGTTGCACCCATGCAGGCACCATAGAGTTACTTTGACATTTTCTTTTATGCAAAATAAAGGATTCCTTTCATATATGAGCATAAAAAACAATGACAATCACCAACTAGAAAATTATCTATGCAAAGCAATGGACTAAGAACTCCCTTTCATATATCAAGAAATGATGTGAACTACCTACCAAAAGTTTCTTTATGCAGAAGGCTGTTATTTCATACATCAGTAGCTTAGTGATAAGTCTGAAGGCTTATAACTAGGGATGCATGGGTAGTAAAATTTGGTCAGGGATGGGTGTCAACCAGGACCGGGTTATCCTCTTGCCCCCCCCCCAAAAAAAACATACATAGAAATTAGAAACAAAAACAAAATTGACGTTTATTACATTTAATCCAATAATCACCAGCAGAACATTCAAGTTTTCTTTCAACTTTCAATTCCTAACTCCTATTGTTCTCTGAATCCCTGACTTTCAGCGGGCAGTCAGTTTTTGTTGCTTGGAACACGTTTTTTATAACTAAACCAATTATTGACTGTAACTTACAGTACTGCATTAGTTGGCACAAAGATTAGGGCTTAGATGCCTAACTTCAACACTCATCTGGAGCCGAGTATTACCAGGTAGCCCAATACCTGGCCAGGTACCCTTGCATCCCTACTTATAATGATAAAAACTGAGTTTGGATACCAATGGTATGCACAGCACAGATAGCCTATTGTACAGCTTTGAGATTAATAACAAACAAACAAAAATATAACAATAAAAGATGTCAACAACACACTATTCAAAACTTAAATTTTCATTTTGAGACAAAGTTTGTTGTTCAAATATCACTCACCCAAATCTGTATAGCTGCTCTTAAGAAAGCTGATGACGGCCTCTAAAGCAAAGATCAGCATTTGGATATGAAATGTCATCATTCCCATCTGTCAAAACATTTATCACATTTTTGAGTGTGTGTAACATCTTTTCTTTGTAGAACATCTGAATTTACAAGTTTGTTTAGATATAATTTTTTTAAATATAAAACTTACAAGAGATCTCATTTCTCTTTTAATAAAAAAAAGTTCCGCATAAGTCTGTGTTCTAGGAAATCAGCATCTGAAACTGATTTTTCAATACTGAACCAAAATAAGTTAGTATTTATTTTTTCTTCTCTATTGTTATGATGCAAAAGAAAAAAAATCAATTCTAATGATCTATGGATTTAATTATTTAGTTTCAAGTGTCCCAAATGTGTTTTGTCAGTTCCTTTTTTTCCACTATTGTTATTGTGAATGTAAAAACTCTCTTGAAAGTTGGCTAAGAATTATTTTCATATATGTAAACATCTACCTGTTGCAGTGAATATTTCTATATTTTATGTGTACAGTTTGGGCTTCCTTCCTCAAGACGGACCTTAAATTGTTAGAGAAGGTTCAGAGAAGAACCACTAGGATGATACCTGGGATGGTGGGATTTTCCTATGAGGAGAGACTAAAATTTCTAAACTTGTTATTAAAAACTACAGTATTTGTTTTTAACATATAAGTACAAAAAAGCAACAAAAAACAATCAAACTCAAGTAAACAGAGAGCTTAAGTTATAATTTTCCTATAATGACAATGTATTTCTGATAGTTACTTACCCCCTTTCACAAGATTAGTTATTCCCATTCTTTGCTGCCCTCTATATCCAAACTTTTTTCTTACATATGCCACAAGCCTTCCGCTCCCCCCTATTGGAATTACTATATTCCAACATGTCTCTCATGCAAATCATCATGCATCACCTCCTAACCAATAGGAACATGATATGCTTACATGATGCCTGTGACTCCCTCTACACTCTTATACCAAACTATCACATCAAAGTTTTGCAGAAGATATCAGCACTGGAGAAAAAAGGGGAGGAAGGGTGGGAAGTGTGAGAAAGATAAGTACCTATCAGAAATACATTTAGGAAAATTATAACTTCTAAAATGGTACTTACCTCCTATAACAAGGTTAGCTAGAATCCCACATTGAGAAGGAGGAGGGGCTGGTGCGAGGGAATGACAGAAGTAAGACGAGAAGCAAGGGAAAATATGTCTGATCTGATGGGAGGACACCTGGAACAAAGTCTGGGAGGAAGAAGGTAGGGTAGAATAGGCCAATCGAACCAAAAGGCAGACCCAATTGATAAGGGTAGAAGGTGAAAGATCACAAAGGGAGAAGGATTTCCAGGGGATAAAGAGTCGGGAACGTGTACCCCAGAAGGTAGCAGTATGGGCTATATAGCAATGAAGAGCCCTGACCAGGTACAGAAGACTATCCAGATCTAGTCGAAGGTAAAGATGGGAAATGGAAGGAAGAGAAAAGGAGGAACCACCCTCCCGAGCTGCCGAGGTCTTCTGGAGAAATGAATGATCTGGATAAAGGTTTGTTTGTTTGTTTGTTGTGGAATTTCGCGCAAAGCTACACGAGGGCTATCTGCACTAGCCATCCCTAATTTAGCAGTGTAAGACTAGAGGGAAGGCAGCTAGTCATCACCACCCACCGCCAACTCTTGGGCTACTCTTTTACCAACGAATAGTGGGATTGACCGTCACATTATAACGCCCCCACGGCTGAAAGGGCGAGCATGTTTAGTGGGATGCGGATTCGAACCCGCGACCCTCAGATTGTGAGTCGAGCGCCTTATCCATCTGGCCATGCCGGGCCACTGGATAAAGGAGAAGATAGATATGGTAATAAAGAGTATGGGAAACATCAATGGCAAACAAATCCAATCTTCAACATCCACAGGCTTAGAGAAGAAAGAAATATGTTTTAAGGGAATGATGAAACATGGAACACAAGGAAAGTGGTTCAAACAGAGGTAAAGTAAAGGAATGGAGGACCACATTAATGTTTCAATCCAGTAGGGCACGCCGCCTGGGAGGGCGATGTATCTGGAAGAAATGCATGAGCATGGTAAGAACAGAGGAAGTAAAATCCCTACAGTATTAGGAAGAAAAAAAGGTATGGAATAAAGTCATCTGATATCCAGAAAGTGAAGAGACCAAAGACCCACAGTTGAAGATCCTGGTGAGAAATTCTGCCACATGAGCCACGGTCAGCAGGAACCCCCTGGTAGTACACTAACTGTGGAATACCTCCCACTTGCATTGGTAAACCTCCTTGAAAATGTACAAATGGAATTAGCTAAGAAGGAAGCGACTCAACATGCGAAACTGGATCATCAAGGACTGGACAAAAATCCAGTTTGAAGACGCAGGACATAAAGGCTGGGATGTAGAATATGTGATCAATGTTGATGAAAAAAGGAGGGAGAAAGTGGAAGAGGGACAGGGGGAAAAGGAGCAGTCATTGTAACCTTGGACACCAAGTCTAAGCTGGCCAATAGGGAGCAATCAGTAGGATTCGACAAGGAGTGGAGAAGACAAGAGAAATCACCCGATGAAATAATTGGATGGGTGGGTGGGTACACGTAAAGATACATATGTGATCAATCCTGGCTGAAGGTATCGACTGCCAGAGTCTGTGGATGAGATACAGGTGACCAAAAGAGAGGTAACTTGGTGTTGAAACCCATTGCAAAGGCATCTATGTGGAGAACCCCACTGATGGCAAAGATCCCTCAAAATGAGGGAATATAATGCCCACTCTATGGGATATATCCGGTTGGGCACGAAAGATGATCTACGACCAGATTGAAAGTACCTGGCACATGACATGCAATCAGGCAAATGTGATGTGCATGGGCCCAGTATAATAAATCTAATCTCCAAAAACAGATCTCTGGGCCAGGTGCCCCCTTGGTGGTTGATATGGGCCACCACTATAGAATTGCCCAAATGAACCATTACCAGACAATGTCGTGCAAGAAGAAGAAAGTGATGCAATGCCAGACGTATAGCTAAAAGTTTAGGAACATCGATATACAAAGTGCTTTCGTCCACAGACCAATGGCTCAAAGCTTCATGGTGTGTGACCCATGCCTCCATCCCTGAAGGGATGTGTCTGTAAAAAGATGTAGATCTGGATGTGGGAGAGGAAGCAGCACGCCTGCCAATGTATAGGTTTTGTCCAGCCACCAATGCAGATTGTCTTGCAGGGAAGGAGGAAGGGAAATGGGGGTGGAAAGAGGAATTACAAGCAAAGTACCATCATTTGTGAAGTGCCCACTGAAGGGATCTCATATGGGCATGACCGAGAGGGATCAGTGCTGTAACAGAAGACCACATCCCAAAAGCGATAGAACCCTGTGAGCAGTAAGTGACTGAGCTGAGAGGGCTTGGTGAACCAAAAGTTGCAATGAACAAAGTCGTAAAGGGGAAGGCAGTGCTCAACTGATGTTTGTGTCAAAAAAGACCTCAAAATGGACAAAATATTGAGTGGGTCTGAGAAGAAGGATTTTTCCAAGTTGATCAACCAGCCCATCCGAGCTGCCATAGAAAGTAGCTGCTGAGTATGATTGACCAAATCCTGTTTGGAATAAGCCAGTCATCCATGTAATAATGAATATGCTGCCCCAGAGCATGGGATTCATGTGCAAAAGCCAGGACTATTCAACAAAACACGGAAGGTGTCAAGGCAAATCCGAAGGGGGGGGGGCAAAATTGGTAAACCACCTCAAGATGGATAAACTGAAGATAAGGATGAGATTTAGGTGATATTGGTATATGTAGGTAAGTATTGGAGACCTCCAATTTTGTCATCCACAACCATTGGGAAAATGCCCATCTTAGGGTGAGAAAATACCCCACAGTGAACTTGTGTAGTGATATGAAGCATTTGAGGCAAGATAAATCAATTTCTGGCCACCAATCTCCAGTTATTCTTGGGGACAAAAAAAGGCTGGAATAAAAACCTCTGGAAGGATAAAGAACAGGTTCAATTGCCTGCTACAAGAACAATTCCTGAACTGCTTCTGACAGATGCTGGCTGGTCACGAGATCTCGAGGAGAAGGGAAGTAAATGAGGAAAGAAGAAACTGGTCAACGAATCCTTCTGAACCTGAAGCATCCATTGATCATCGATGAAGGGATGCCCAAGTAGAAGGAATGCGTAAGGGCTGGGAAGGGAGGAAATGGGAATTGGAGGCATATGAGGCTCTGACTGATATGAACAGGCTACAATACTCATAAGGGTGGATTTTTGGTGAACCGATGTCCCCCAAGGCTCAATAGTTTCACGGATAATATCAGTGGAACATTTCAGAAATGGGCCATACATAAATCCCCGAGATATGTTGAGGGAAAATGGAAAACAAAGAATCCATGTATGTAAAGCCAGAGCCAAAGACAATATGTGGGCTAAAGTGGAGGAGAAAAGGGCAAGGTTATCTGCAGAAAACCCCTCAGGATTTCTGTGGAGAGCATCAGATAGGAGGTTCATGGAAGAAAGATACTGTAAGAGGTTGGTAAGATGCAGGCAAGAATAGTGGGGATTGGTAAGACTGACATTTGATTTGGAAGCTGCTCCCCAAATAGGTAACATGGAATCTAAAAACAGCTGATCTAAAAATGGATAGTCCAACCAATTTTAAGAAAGGGTGAACTGATCAGAAGTCCTCTAATACCCTCACTCAATTATGAGGCAAATTTATCAGCCTGAACCCAAATATCAGGGGAGGGAGGAAAAACCAAAGAGGGTTGGAAAGATTGTTCATGCAATAAGGAAAAACGAAGTGAATAATAAGTAGGTGAAAGAGATAAAACATCACAAACCTGAGACCAAATCAAGAAAGACAGAATTAGGCCTAGGAGATTCCTCAGGTTGAGAATGGGAAGGAACAAAAAACTTTGAAGGCGGAAAAAGCCGATCAAAGTCCTCATCAGTCGGCTCAAGAGGAGCCTGGGTACAAAGGTTGGTCCAGGTAATGTTTAATCTCTCGATCTATAAAATCAGATAAATCCACCATCGGGTCACCTGCAACTGGGGCCTGATAAAAAGCAATGGTGTAACACCTGAAGTGGTAATGTTAACTTCGGAATTCATTGCACGGAAAAGGTTCACCAAATTTGAGTGCAGAAATCAAACGACTAGAATTTACTGATAAATACTAATATAGGAATTGGGTTGAATGAGAGCAAATTAAGTCGAAAAATAATCACTTTATGAGGAAAATATGAAGCATTAATCACACAAAAGAGCAAGTCTGAACTTAAATGCTGCCAAACAAGAAGTGATAGGGCATGTAGAAGGCAGCACTGAATGAGAATAGCTAATCTTGTGAGAGGAGGTAAGTATTGTATCAGAATCACACCTCCATAGTAGTCTTCAAGACTGAAAGAATTCTGCTACTAAGCCTACCACTTAAAATAGCCAAGATAGGTTGAGACTTACATTTCACAGCTTTATAGGCATCACATTTTTTGTAAAAGGTGACAACTCCATAGTTATCTCTGTTGATATAAAAACAAATAAATTATAACTAGAGGAAACAATTAACATTTCTATATTTGAAAATAGAGTAGGAGCTTAGCCAAAACAGTGTACACGGTTACTTAGTAAGTTCACAAACATTTTGTTTTGAGTTTACTTACTGATAAAGTATTATTTTATTACAAGTTACAGCTTTTACAGTAAGGAAGATTATTTTTAGAACAGATACGACATTTCGATCACTGGTGCAATCATTCTCAAGTACACAAGTTTTAACAGTAAAGAAGGTTTTAGTATTTAAATCAACATCAAACACTAACAATGTACTTAAATTTTAAAATTGATAGTGGTTACTTAGGCATGTGCATATCAATCCATGTGAATCGACAGACTATGGTTGAACATAAAAAATGAACAAAAGTAAATAAATATAAAAAAGTGGAATATGTTATGTGAAATATTTGCATAAGATTAGAAATGTCTGGGGAAATAACAATCAAAGACATATAGAGATGTGCCTGGGTATTTTTTAATTGTGTGATTGTTTGATATTAGTAATAAGGTTTCTCTGATTTTTATTCTGTTCAGAAAAACTATGATTGTTTTTGTTCATATGCTCATGGACTTGGGAAGGGGTTTTTGGTATTCTTTTAACCTGATTTTCATGTCATGTCCTGTTTCACTTGTGTAAAATGCTGGGCAATTGTTAAACTTTATTTTGTAAATGTTTCCTGGTGGCATGAAAAAACAAAAAGGGGTAAGTGATAGTTTCATTTCTAACAAACATTCTACACAATTCAGATTAAGCAATGTTCATGCAAATGAATGATTTCTATTCTGCAGATTAGAGCCACAGACAAATCTAATACATTTATGTCAATATGACATTTTCTCTTGGAAAGTACAAGGAGTACATGGTATAAACAGTGGCTGAGTTATAATATATATTAATATAGTGGGAAGAATAATCAAGTTTACATACTACACACACACATATATATATATATATCTAATAAAAACACCTTAGGTGTTAAAAAAAGGTGCAGCCAAAGAAAGGATTGAACTTACGTGTTAAAGGAAATAAAAATCAAAACTGGTGGCCAAACTGGCAGCTACACTTATAGCAGTGATTATAGTTTTAGAGCAAATATTCATTCAATAATCAGTTAGGTGATTTTTTTGTTCAACTTGGTGTATAATGGTTGATTAAAACAAAATATGCAGCCCAGCCAACTAATGAGGAATAATGGTAAAAATTCATGTAATGACAAGGAATTAATATATATTTCTTAAATTACATTTGCTACAAGCTAACTTCCTTTTAGGCCCAACTTAACAAACAACATTTCAACACAAATTCTGAGACTAATGGTACTCTGGCTAACTTACTTATAAAATTTCTGCCTGAAGCTTGTCAATCAATAAATCTACTAACTCACCAAGTGGTTGAATAGAGAAGGAACTGAATGAATTCTTGCCACTAACACTGAACTGAATCATTCATTGATTCACTCCTTCACTTTACTCATACATCTTATGTTTACAATGCCGTGCACCCTCTAGCAAATGTCAAAACATTGAAACTATAGCTTACAACAGTATATTTAGGTTAAATAAAAACAAATGCATGGTATTCTGTAAAATATTTAATTACATAAGTGATAGCAAATGAATTTATCATGAAACTGAGTAAACTAGGTGTTAAAAACATGGTAGAAGAAATCTTGGGTGACTAAAACAGAAGTGAGTTTTTGGGCAATGTCCACAAAGTCTTGTAGTATTTATTATTAATTTTCACACTTATAAATATAATTCTTTGCTAGCTTAGGACATACATTTAGAATTATGGTACACCTTCCAAATTGGATGACCTTTGTGTGATATTATGGGTACCTAAGCAATGATTCTGATGTCTTTTGTAGATTATTATTTTGCAGTTCATTAGTGTAGAAGGTATTCTTTGGTTATGACCTATATAATTAGCTTACTTTTCATCAAAAGCTAATAAGTATTTGGAATATTGTTGTTACGAAGTAGAAAATCTAAAACTTTGACATTGAAAGTTTCTGTTCAATCAAATATTTCAAAATTAAACATAATTAAATACACTTAAATACAAGTCCAAGTAATGAGTATTCTTTTTTGTGAAAAATTATTTTCCTTGGGCACAATTCTGGTGGACCTATAAGTAACAATCTCACTAAACCTAGAAAATTCAGTAAAACAATATGGTCATTGTACCTTAAAGCACGACTAATGTATAAAGCTTTGTTATTGGTTTTGTTATTGTGGTTTGTCATAAAAGAAATTTATATTTCAATTTAATATAAATCTGCAATTTGTGGGTTGAAGTTGTCATCAACATAAAATACTGGCTTTAAATGTATTATGAATTTAAAAATTATTTTTTTCATTTTCTTCTCCCATTCTTCAAATTGGTTTAATTAAAATTAATTTTAGTACATCCCAAGAATTGGAATTTGTAATCTTTCTCATTAAGAACTGTAAATTAGCTATAATATCAGTATTACATGACTGATAAAAGGATGAATAAAAAATGTTGACTTATATTTGTAATTAGACAATAGTTTTGTGTAGCTTTTCATTACCCACTTTTATCTATAAAACTGACATATTAATTGTCAACTTTTAAGCACAAGTTTGCTAAATTTTATTAAATTCTCCCAATTAAAGAGCATTTAGCATCACTTGATATTAGCTTAAGCAATTAGCGTAAATAATGATGATACAGCTATACCGAGTGCATGCAGGTGATGACAAAAACTGTTAATCGAGTTCCCATGGCATTAATATAAAGGAAGTTATTAACACTTTTAGAGAGGAAAACTACCACCATATATTTTAAAGAATCAGCTTGGTTCTGTAAAGTAAAGGTCTGTTCCGAATTATAGAGTTGCGATCCTAAAGCTATTGTGGGTGGCTCACTGTTGAATGTCACTATCTTACTTGCTGTGGTTTGTTGGTGTGTATTGACAAATAAAGCCATGATATCTATTCAAAAACACCTAGGCTGCATATTTTGTTTTACCAACCATTATGTCCCAAGTTGAACAAAAGAATTAAAAAGTAACTTTGTGTTTAACTAAATGACTTAGTTTGAGCTAAGAAAATAAACAGACTGGACACATGATGTAAAGTGAAACAATTTTTATTGTATACCTCAAAGCACAAAACACATTTTGCTGGATAGTCACTTTGTACAAAATTAGTGAATCACTCATTAACTTTTCTCTCTCAAAATGTTTTCTTTTCAACTAACTCACATAAAAAAACCTGGTAGAACTGATGTGAATCCAACACTCCATACTAACAGGAAACATTGGATTTACCCAGAATAATGCATATTACCATATGACTAACTGACCTTTATCTTACAACATATAAAAGGTTGTAACCTCTTAATATATAGTCAACCAGTGAAGAACCCAGCTGTCATTGACTTATTTTGCACAATGAGTGAAATTGCAGCAATGTCTTTATGGGCAAACTAGCTACTACTGGTATATACAACAAAAAAGGAAAAAGGTAATTAGAACAAAAACGGTTTACTGTATCACCTGTTATGCTAAAACTGCATAGAATTTTTTAGAAATTCATATATTAATGAATATTTCAACTCAATGCAATTAAAATATATTTTGCACTAATCTTTCTGAGAAATACCAGATAAAACTGTGTTCTCTCTCTAAGATGTTGTGGAAGTTTCTTTGTTATTTTTATTTCTTCCTTGAAAATCCACTACCTGCAGAATACTTCAATATAAAAAGTGAAACATTCTCTTTCTAGTATTAATGAAATAACAGGAGCACTGTATTTTTTCAGTAATACCTTCTAGGCCAATTGTAACAGTTAACCTGATATTCATTACTTATTATATATATAGCAGCATGTACAGATATACCATTACATATGCATATTATCACTACACATTGTTAAATACTCTAATAGTTTATAACATATTGTCTCCAGCTCTCACATGAATTACATAACTTCAGAAGGTAACTCAAGTAATACTCAGTAATGACAGTATTGCTATCTGGGATGCAACAAACTCAACTGATGTTTATTTCAGGCATTATTAAATAATCACTGGCAAAATTAAGCTAAACTAAGAATTTTCAACTAAAAGTTTAATCATCCAGGATTAATATTCATGCTTTTACTACTCAATGTACACTCATAGGAAACACAACTACCTTGCTGTTTGTAGAACCAAATACATCTCGGGTATACAGGTAATAATCTAGCAAGTACAAGGTGGCATGCTCTGTAGACTTCTAACCACTCAACAAGATAATGAAAATAATTTTCTCAAAATGCCATATGATGTTTTACATTAGAAAACAACACCCTTTCAGTCACTGATATTTCAATGATCATCCTAGCTTATGAAGTAAATCTAGTGGCAATAACAAAATATAATTCCTAGATCATACCAAGAAAATACCTACTGATATCTTGGGATGCAGGGGTCATAAAGCCCTTTCAAAGTTTTCAGACTCCTAGCTACAATCTTCAGTCGTGGAACTTGTTCATGCTCTTAAGTATTATATATATTCACTTCAGACTGACTAGTAATCATACAGTGCGGTACATACTCAGAGATTCACATCATCACTTGAGCCTTGGAAAACATTTTATCTTATTGTAATCACTTGATAGTTGAAAAAGTAAGAGTCACAAAGCCCTTTCAACTATTGGTTTCTTGAACAAACAACTGTCCTAATTATCTAGGATTGATCAATCCCATCTATATTGATTGGAAGGTCAGCCAGACCAACTAACTATCAGAGCTGTTTGTTGCTTCTGACTCCAGTAACTCTTTATGTGGCTTCTTCTCAGTTTTCAGTTTTCTCCCTTGTCAGATGAGTCAGTTTGGCTAAAGATAACATCCTTGTCCTTGTCGGGTGAGTTGGTGTCATCCTGAGGCTCATGATCAAGAAAGTGTACCAATGTTTCAACTGTGATGTATGGATGCAGCTTATCCACATGTTCTATG